AAGTGGCAGAGCGCTAGCCTTGAGCTGAAGAGCTGAGGGACAGCGCCCAGGCCCAGAGTTCAGGCCCCACGACCGGACCCAAAAAATAAAAAAAAAATAAAAAAAAGAATTCACCAATTATACTCATTCTTGTCCTAAAGGGGCTACCAGGACATTCAGTGAATGTGGGGCATACTCAGGGATTGAAATAAGGAATTAGATCCAGAATTGGGATTTTCTCAACTGCTTAACAGCAAAAAAGAAGTTATTTATTTGTATTGGGAGTGGCAGTGGTACTAAGGCTTGACCTCAGTGCCTTGTACTTAAATAAGCAAGTACTCTTCTACCTGAATCCCTAGTCCTGAAAACGTCAATAAATATTATTAACTTATCTAGAGGGAATGTTTATTAATTTTAAATTTTAATTGAATTATTTTGTGTCAGTACTGGAGCCTGAACTCAGGACCACATGTTCCTGCTTAGCTTTTTAATTCAAGGTTGATGCTGCTCTTCACTTGAGCCACATCTCCACTTTCAGCTTTTCAGTGGTTAATTGGAGATTTTCCTGCTCAGGTTTTGAATCATGATTCTCAGGTCTCAGCCTCATGAATGTCTAAGAATATAGGCATGAACCTCTGGTGCCTGGCAATGTTTTTTAGTAATAAGGAAATTCCCAATTGTCAAGGGCCATATAGACAGAATACCTACTGCAATCTCTGATGTATCTTTTTCTTTTGCTGGTGCTGGGGTTTGAATTCAAGGCCTCACACTTGCTCAGTTGACATTCTACTGCTTTGGCCATACCTCAAAAGCCTGGCTTTTTGTTTGTTTGTTTATACTCTGTTTTGAAATTCATTATAAAATGTTAAAATCAGGATACTCAAATGTAATATACTTTTAATTTTTTTTTTTTTTTTTTTGGTCCAGTCATGGGCCTGAACTCTGGGCCTACGCGCTGTCCCTCAGCTCTTCAGCTCAAGGCTAGTGCTCTACCACCTGAGCCACAATGCCACTTCCAGCTTTTTTTTCCTGCTTATGTGGTGCTGAGGAATGGAACCCAGGGCCTCATGGATGCAAGGCAAGCACTCTACCACTGAGCCACCTTCCCAGCCCCACTTTTATTATTCTTATTTGTTTGGTGCTGATCTTGAGCTTGAACTAGGGCTTGGGCACTTGAGCCACAGCTTCACTTCCAGCTTTTTGTGTGATTAACTGGAGGTAAGCATCTCATGGGCTTTTCTGCCTAGGCTGGCTATGAGGCTAATCATCAGATCTCGCCTTCCAAGTAGATAGGATTACAGGCATGATCCACAGGTACCTGGCTTTTTTTTTCTTTTTAAACATGTTTTTAGTAACCTGTTTAAAATTTTTAAACAATTTCTCTGGCTAAAGAGTGGAAGTAGAGTAATCCAAAGTATAAATCCTCAATGAGATTGAACTTCTCGCCGCCCCCCCCCACCATTGTAAGGCTTGAACTCAGAGCCTGGATACTGTCCCTAGGCTTTTTTTGCTTAAGGCTAGCACTCTACTATTTGATCCAGAGCTCTACTTCCAGCTTTCTTTGGGGGTAATTTATTGGAGATAAGAGTCTTGTGGACTTTCCTGCTTATGCTGGCAGGAATCGTGATCCTTAGATCTTGGCCTTCTGAGTAGTTAGTACCAAACAGTGCCTGGTTACCTTCTTTTTTATACTCATTATACCCATTAAAGGTAACAGCTATTCCCCTGGAATGCAGGTGAACTTACTGTGGTTATAAAATGCTACAGCTTCAGGGATGTTTAACAAATAGAAAGGTATTTTTGATATGTTATGGTTAGAGAATAATTTCTTAATGGCAGTTTTGTTACAAGATTAGTTTGCTACAGGTATTTTATTTTTTTATTGTTATTATAAATGTGATATACAGAGGGATTACAGTTTCATAAGTCAGGTAAAGAGCACATTTCTTTTTGGACAATATCACCCCTTCCCTCGTCCTCTCCCAGTGTTTTTCTCCAGTCCCCACCTACAAGTTTTATAGTTCATTTTCAACACAGTATCTAGTAAGAACAACTGCTACATTTGTTCACCCTTGTCCCTCCATTTCTGTGCTCTCCTTACCCTCCCAAAGACAGATAAACAAACAAACAAGATGAAAACAAAAATAACAACAAAGAAAAAAATCTCTTGTTTCAATTTCCTGGAGTTCATTTTGATAAATATTATCTTATGTGATCAGATGCACACAGGCATTGCACCTTTGTGCTCCTCTCCTAAGAGTGTCCTCCTTTGATCTCACTGTGTGTGAATGCCTAGATGTTACAAGTATTATAAAATTTCTAAAAAAAACTTTTCTGGTCCTTGGGCTTGAACTCAGGGTCTGGGTGTAGTCCCTAAGCATTTGTGTTCAAGACTAGTGGTCTACTACTTGAGCTACAGCTCCACTTCCAACTTTTTGGTAGTTAGTTGAAGATAAAAGTCTCACATACTGTCAGGTGCTGTTGGCTCACACCTGTAATTCTAACTACTTAGGAGGCTGAGATCTGAGGACTGAGATCCAAAGCCAGCCTGGGCAGGAAAGTCTGTGACTCTTATCTCCAATTAACCACCAGAAAACTGGAAGGGGTGCTGTGGTTCAAGTGGTAGAGAGCTCACCTTAAGCATCTAGGCCCAGAGTTAAAGCCCTACAACCAACCAAAAAATAAAAAAAGTCTCACATATTTTCCTATCTGGGCTGGCTTTGAATCTCAATCCTCAAATCTCAGCCTAGGATTATGAGCATGAGCCATTGGTACCTGGTAGCAGTTTTGAATTTTAATGCCCCAATTGATTCAACTGAGCTCAATTGATTCCAGGCATTGTAAAACAAACAAACAAAAAGGCCAAGTAACCATGTCAATATATCAAGTGCCATAGAGAATACCAATAACTATTTTTCTGTTTGTATTTAAATAATCACAACCCAGCTAAACTGGAGAAAAACAATCTCTCATATAAAAAATTACCATCTTACAGTATTGGCCTAGCAAGCAAGAGATCCCAAGTTTAACACTCAATATCATAAAATATATAAACAAAAAAAACCCAAACTCTACTTCACACCCTCTTTTCATCATTTATGGTAGACCTGAGCACTTACTCTTTCCTGCGATGTTTGATAACGGAGATGAAGGGCTGTGGGGTCCCAATCTACAGCAATAGAGGCATTTCCAATGTAAGCTCTGTCTTCATCACAAGCAATTTTGCAACCTCTGCAAAATCTAAAAGGGGAAAAAGATTTATAAAGAAATAAGGAATCTAAAACTTCAAATTAAAAACATTTATGTTTTACTCAAGCTTGGTTTTAAAACTCCCTTGGGATTCCAACTTCAAATTCTCTCTTTTTTTTTTGGTCGGTAGTGGGGCTTGAACTCTGGGCCTGGGCGTTGTCCCTAGCTCTTCAGCTCAAGGTGAGCACTCTACCACTTGAGCCACAGCGCCATTTCTGGTGATTAATTGAAGATAAGAATCTCACGGGACTTTCCTGCCCGGGCTGGCTTTGAACCTCGATCCTTAGATCTCAGCCTCCTGAGTAGCTAGGATTGCAGTCGTGAGTCACCAGCGCCTGGCAGTATTTTCTTTTTGCTACTAACATTTGAACTAGGGTCCTTCTGCTTGCTAGGCAGTGCTCTATCATATTAGTCATGGCACCAACCCATTTTTTTCCCCCTCCCAGTACAGGAGTTTGAATTTAAGGTCTTGTGCCAGCTAGGCAGGTACTCTTCCACTGGAGTTACACTCCCAGTCCTTTTGCTTTAATTCTTTTTCTTTTTTTTTTTGTTTCAGATGTTTTATTATTTATTGTTATTGTAGAGTTGATATTCAGAGGGGTTACAGTTACATCAGTCAGGTATAATTCTTTCTGAACCATGTCTCCCCTTCCCTTACTTTCTCCCAGTTTTTTCTTTTTATCTCCACCCACAAGATGTACAGTTCATTTTCCACATAGTATCTAGTGAGTGCCATTGTTGTATTTGTTTACCCTTGTTCCACCTTTTCTGTGTAATTATTGTTCAAATAGAGAGTATTGTGCCACCCACTGGTGGATCACATTTGTAATCCTAGTCTGAGGATCATGGTTCAAAGCCAGCCTGGGAAGAATTTATCTCCAATTAACCTCTAAAATTGTATAAGGAGAGCTGTGACTCAAGTAGTAGAGTCTTGAACTTGGGGTCAAGGTGCTGTTCCCAAGCAATTATACGCAAGGCTAGCCACTCTACCACTTTGAGGCACAGCACCATTTCCTGTTTTCTGATGGTTAATTGGAGATAAAAGTCTCTTGGAATTTTCTTCTTGGGCTGTCTTTGAACTGCGATCCTGAGATCTCAGCCTCCCAAGTATCTGGGATTGGAGGCATGAGCCACCCGTACCTGGCTTTGCTTTGGGTATGTTTTTGGTAGGGTCACTTTATTCCTGGGTTGGCCTAGGCTTTGATCTTCCTACTGGTGTCCCCTGATGTCCCTGAGTAAACTGGCACCTGGATTCTGGTGAATTTCTTATGCCAGGTCTAGCCTCAATTCCTGATCTTTGTTTCCCATGTAGCTAAGGGTTACAGGATTGAGTCATTGTGCTTGGCTTTTGTTTGTTTGTTTCCTTTTTGGTAAGGCAGAGTCTTCCTATGTAGCCCAGGCTGGTCTTGAACTCAAGATCCTCCTGCCTCAGCCTCCTAAGTGTGATAACAGACATGTGCCATGCTATAACCATGTCTGGCTAATTGTATTTATTAATAATTATTATTTCAGGTAACTATGCTTAGGGCTTCTCAGTCTTTGGATTTATACTAAGCATTTGTTAACATACAGAAATGGCAAAATAAATGACAGCAGAACTGACTCTTTGAAATAATACAGCTCAAAAGAAATTCTAAATTCAGTTACATAATGCTTTTAGGTAAAATAACAACCTATCTGATTTGTAAAATGGCATGTTAAAATATATAAAAGTTCATGGAGTTGCAGGAAAAAAGATGACAGGGCCATGGTTCCCATGTCTATCTGAGACTCAGTTTGTTAACTCTATAGCAGTTCTCTAAAAGTTGACTATTATCAGCTTCTTTCCCTGCTGTCCCAGAAATGATCCATCATTCTTTACAACTCTTTGAAAAACCAAAAACAGATTTCTAGAAAGTCTAGTTAGTTATGAGACTATGTTCTACTGGCTCAGAATTGCCAAACTTAAAAAATTATATATATATATAAAATCATAGAAAGTTTAGACTAATAATAAGCAGGCATGGTCTAAGTCACTCTGTACTTGGGAGGCTGAGACTGGAAGATAAACTGGGTTTAGGGACTTGAAAAAAGTTAGGGCAACATAGCAAGACTCCATTTAAATAAACAAAAGAAAAAGAAAAAAAGAAATTTGGAATAAAAATGATTATGTATTATGAATTGGAGGTATAGTTTGTAAAACTAGCTAATCTCATGAAGAAGAAATGAACAATTCCTACATTTACTACTTCAAGCTTTACATTATTCACTATTATGCCTCAATCTTGGCAGTCCTATAAAAAAGGTGAAATATCTGATGCTGCAATTCTAATAAAATGTTTCCTTTGCAGAAGATCACTTTACCTATACCATGGGCACCAAGCACAGGAGTTCCCGTCTTTCTGCACAACTCGTAGCGTGAATGGGTATTGATATCCCATACTGTCATCACTGAAATAGAAGAAAATATACACAAACCAAAGTCTTAGAAGCATTTCTGGTTTGCAAGCCAATCATATTCATTTCCTCTTAAAGTGATTCTCTAGGAAAAAGCATTTGCCTAGCAGGTATGCTCATGCAGACAGCTGGGTACTGCACATCCTAATCCATTAACTGCAACCGTGTAGTAGTCACAGTAAGCTATAGAGGGGTACACACTCTAGACTGCCAGATGTTCAAGAGTATACATGGTCCATGAACATTTTTACAAAGGAGGTCATGAAATCAAATAACAATTATTCTCCAGCTCTTATTTTATCAGAGAATATAATTCACATTAAAGTAAAATAATTAGACCTTTCCAAGATTAGAACATTGACACACTATAGGAGGCTGTATATTTGAAGGCTTCTTTAAATAAATTCCCCGTTTGTAGTACGTTAGGATTCGATCTCCTTTTCCCGACCATAGCTATTCAAAGCTATAAGGTATTGCCTCCGCGTAGCTCTTAAAAATTGTTAACAATTATGGAAAGATAAGACATGGTTTCTCTAAATTTTAATAAAACTTACTAATCTTGCTTCAATAAGAAGCAGAATTAATATACAAATAAGTACATATATATATATCTGTATAACACGTCTAGTATTTAAATATAATTCCTGGGCTAAAAGAGTGTTTATCAAGTGAAAAACCCTAGTTTCAATTCTTAGCACACACCTCCCCCAGAAAACAAAGCAACTTTCCAATTTCTATTTACCAATTATAGTTCATGAAGCTGGGGGAGAAAAAGAAGGAACAGTCTCATAGACTTTTTCTGCCTGGGCTGGCTTTGAACCACTATCCTCAGATTTCAGCTTCCTGAGTTTGCTGGATTTACAGGTATGGGCTACCAGCACCCAGCTTTGTTTTTTGTTTTTGTTTTTTTTAACATAAAATAACTTAGATACAAAGGGATGACATTTTCTTGGTTAAATGGAGATAAGAAACTCAGGAATGTATGTTCCTTGGATAAGTTTTGAACCACAATCTAAAGATCTCAGTCTCTGGGATTAGAGGCATGAGCAGCTGGTTCTGGGCTCTGTCTTGATTTTTTTTTGCTCATGGCTGGTGCTTTCTCACTTGAGCCATGCCTCCAACCCAGCTTTTTTTTTTTTTTGGTTCCGGTCATAGGGCCTGAACTCTGGGCCTGGGCGCTGTCCCTCAGTTCTTCAGCTCAAGGCTAGCGCTCTTACCACTTGAGCCACAGCGCCACTTCTGGCTTTTTTCTTTTTGCTTATGTGGTGCTGAGGAATCCAACCCAGGGCCTTGAGCATGCAAGGCAAGCTCTCTACCACTGAGCCACCTTCCCAGCCCTAACCCAGCTTTTTTTGTCAGTTGTGGGGTCTGAACTCAGGGCCTTTTCTTTTCTTTTGCTCAAGGCTAGCACTCTCCATGTTTACCTATAGCACCATTTCTAGTTTTCTATTGGTTAATTGGAAATAACAGATTTTCCTGCCTCAGCTAGCTCTCAACCTCAATCCATATGACCTCAGCTCCAGAGCATCTAGGATTACAGGAGTGAACCAATAGCTTCTGGCCAATCGAGCTTTGTTGATGATTAATTAGAGATAAGAGTCACACAGATTTTTCAGTTTGGGCTGCCTTAGAAGAGTAATCTTAAGGGGCTGGGAAGGTGGCTCAGTGGTAGAGTGAGTGCTTGCCTTGCACACATGAGGCCCTGGGTTCAATTCTCAGCACCACATAAGCAGAAAAAGCCAGAAGTGGTGCTGTGGCTCAAATGGGAGAGTGCTGGCCTTGAGCTGAAGAGCTGAGGGACAGCACCCAGGCTCAGGCCCAGCGTTCAGGGCCCATGACCGACCAAAAAAGAAAAAAAAATCCTCAGATCTCAGCCTTGGGAGTACCTAGGATTCTAGGTATAAACTAGTGGTACCTACCTCAAATCAATTTTTTTTTAACCTTTGTGCATTTGCTTACCATGGATACCTACTAAAAGTAAAATCATACAGAGTGCAGGTGGCTCACACCTATAATCCTAGCTATTCAGGAGGTTGAGATCTGAGGATCACTATTCAAAGCCAGCTTGGAAGGAAAGTCTGTAAGACTCTAAGACTTTCTCTCTCTCTCTCTCTGCCTGTCAGGGGGCTGGGCTTGAACTCAGGCCCTGGGCACTGTATATGAGCTTCTTTGGATCAAGCCTAGTGCTCTACCACTAGAGACAGAGAGCTACTCAGTTTTTGTTTATTTGGTACTGAGGAATCGAACCCGGGGCTTCATGCATGCTTGGCAAGCACTCTACCACTGAGCTACATTCCTAGCCCACGTGAGACTCTTATCTCCAATTTAACTACCAGAAAACTGGAAGTGGTGCTGTGGCTCCAAGTGGCAGAGCACTAGCCTTGAGAAAAAAACCTCAGGGATAGTGCTCAGGCTCTGAGTTCAAGCCCCATGACCGACAAAAAAAAAAAAAAAATCATACAGTATGTGTCCTTTTCTGTCTTGCTTATTATTTCAAGTTGTATAATGCTCTCAGGCTTCATCCATGTTGTGGCATATATCAGCATTAGATTCTCTCTCTCCCTCTCCCCCTCCCTCCCTCCCTCTCCTCTCTCTCTCTCTCTCTCTCAGTGGTACTAGGATTTCAACTTGCTAGGTAGGTGCTCTTACCACTTCAGCCAAACCACCCCTAACCCTTTTGTCTAGGCTATTTTTCAGACTGGGCATCACACCTTTTGCTCAGGGAAAGTCTAGTCTGTAATCCTCCTATTTATAACTCCCTTATAGCTGGTATTATGGGCAATACCACCATGCCTGGATTTGTGTGTATGTGTGCTGGTCCTGGGGCTTCAGCTCAGGAACTGTCCCTGAGCATTTTTTGCTTAAGGCTAGTAGCAGTCTACCACTTGAGCCACACCTCCACTTCAGGATTTTTGGTGGTTAATTGGAGATAAAAGTCCCAGGGACTTTCCTGGCAGGGCTGGCTTTGAACTGTGATCCTAAGATCTCAGTCTCCTGAGTTGCTAGGATTATAGGTGTGAGCCACTGGCATCACATTTGTTTTTCATTTTTAAAATTGTTATTATAAAGTTGATATGCAGAGGGGTTATTGTTACATAAGTCAGATAAAGAGTAAATTTCTTTTTGGACAATGTTACCCTTTCTCTCACCACACTTTTTATGGTGCCAGCTTTGGGGCTTGAACTTAGGGCCAGGTCCCCTTGTCTGGCGTTTTCACTCAAGGCTAGTACTCTACCACTTGAAGCCACAATTCCACTTCCGGTTTATTGGTAGCTAATTAGGTAAGAGTCTCACAGATTTTCCTGCTAGGGTTAATCCTTAGATCTCAGCCTCCCAAGTAGCTAGGATTACAGGCATGAGCCACCAAATGCCCCGTTTCTCATTTCCCAATATTTGTTGGTTAATTGGAGATAATAGTCTGGAGGATTTTTTCTTCCTGGTCAGGCTTTGAAGCTCCAGCCTTAGATCTTAACCTCCTGAGCAGCCAGTTTTTTTTTTTTTTAATTGTGAAAATACCATACAGAAGGGTTACAATTACATGGGCAAGATAATGAGTACATTTCTTATCAAGCATTGTTGCCTCTGTTGTCTCCTCCTTTGTTTCCCCTTCCCTTCCCCCCCACCCCAAATGTGGTCTTGACAACTTTGTTTACTGAGTAACTGGGATTACATGTGTGAGTTATGCCACCACACACAGCTCTCATTCCTTTTAATGGCTGAATGCTATTTGATATATATTACATTTTGTTGTAGCATATATCAGCACTAGATTCCATTTCTCTCTCTCTCTCTTTTCAGTGGTACCAGGGTTTCAACTTGATAGGTAGGTGCTCTTACCACTTCAGCTAAACCCCTAGCCCTTGTTTTTTTGTCAGTTGTGGGGCTTGAACTCTGGGCCTGGATGCTGTCCCTCAGCTCTTCAACTCAAGACGAGTGCTCTACTACTTGAGCCACAGTGCCACTTCTGGTTTTCTGGTGGTTAACTGGAGATAAGTCTCAGACTTTCCTTGTCTAGGCTGGCTTTGAACTGTGATCTTAGCCTCAAATCTCAGCCTCCTGCATGGCTAGGATTACAGGCGTGAGACACTGGTGCCTAGCACACTCCTAGCTCTTTTGTCTAGGCTATTTCATTCATCTCTTTATAAGACATTTGGATCACTTTTGCTTTTTGTTGTAACTCATTAGATTCATTAGATGGAAATCAGAGGGCTCTGGTACAGTGGCTCAAACTTGTAATTCTAGCTACATGGGAGGTGGGGATAAGTTTGTAAGACTATCTCAAACAATGGCTAGATGAAGTGGTACACACACACACACACACACACACACAACCTGGTATTGCAGCTACACAGGAAGCACAATGGCTGGCACAGTGGCACATACCTGTCATCTCTAGTGACACAGAGAAGCACAAACAGAATGATTGCAATCTGGACCTGCCAGGCTATAGTGAGATTTATTCTTGAAAATAATCAATGCTAAACATGGTGGCTAGAGGCATGGCTCAAGTTATAGAGTGCCTGCCTAGCAATCTTCATGCCCTGAGTTCAATCCCCAGTACTAAAAAAAAATTAATCTTTTTTTTTTTTGGGGGTCCAGTCGTGAGCCTAAACCTTGGGCCTGGGCGCTGTCCATCAGCTCTTCACTTCAAGGCTAGTGCTCTACCACTTGAGCCACAGCACCACTTCCGGCTTTTTCTGCTATGTGGTGATGAGGAATTGAACCCAGAGCCTCACGCATGCAAGGCAAGCACTCTACCACTGAGCCACCTTCCCAGCCCCATCAGTAGCTATTTGTAAAACATAAACTCATTATTCTTTTAATTCTCTCTTCAACCTAGGTCAGCTTCCATTTCATGTGTTCATCAGTACTATATCACTAGTAGATTTCACAAAGGTCATCAAAGATCCTCATTTTAAAGCCGGGCGCTGGTGGCTCACGCCAGTAATCCTAGCTACTCAGGAGGCTGAGATTTGAGGATCGCGGTTCAAAGCCAGCCCGGGCAGGAGAGACCATGAGACTCCTATCTCCAATAAACCACCAGAAAACTGGAAGTGGCGCTGTAGCTCAAGTGGTAGAGCGCTCGCCTTGAGCTGAAGAGCTGAGGGACAGCACCCAGGCCCAGAGTTCAAGCCCCAGGGCCGACAAAAAAAAAAAAAAGATCGTCATTTTATGAAATGCAGTAGGCAAGTATCAATCTTTTTTTTACTCAATCTGATTTCCAACAACTGATCACTTTTTCCTGGAAATACTTTTTTCACTTAACCTTTGTTGATTGCTCATCCTTAATTTCTTTACATTACTAGATGTTTGTTTTCCTTTCTTTTTTTAACCTTTAATTAAAATTCAACAGGAATTAGGTCTTAGACATGCTCTCTAAATCTCACTCTCTTAAGTCATACAATTTTTTATCTCAACACTTTACAAACTAATTATTTGCTAGGTACCAGTGGCTCACACCTGTAATCCTAGCTACTCAGGAGGCTGAGATCTGAGGATCTCAGTTCAAAGCCAGCCCAGGCAGGAAAGACAGTGAGACTTTTTTTTTGGGGGGGGTCTAATTGTGGAGCCTGAGCTCTGGGCCTGGGCGCTGTCCCTCAGCTCTTCAGCTCAAGGCTAGTGCACTACCACTTGAGCCATAGCACCACTTTTTTTCCTGCTTATGTGGTGCTGAGGAATCAAACCCAGGGCCTCATGTATGCAAGGCAAGCACTCTACCACTGAGCCACCTTCCCAGCCCTGACAGTGAGACTTTTATTTCCAATAAACCACTCAGAAAACTGGAAGTGGTGCTGTGGCTCAAGTGATAGAGCACTAGCCTTGAGCTGAAGAGCTGAGGGACAGAGCCTAGGCCAGAGTTCAAGCCCCCCAACCAACAAAAATACAACAACAAGGGCTGGGAAGATGGCTCAGTGGTAGAGTGCTTGCCTTGCATACATGAGGCCTTGGGTTTGATTCCTCAGCACCAAATAAGCAGAAAAAGCCAGAAGTGGCACTTTGGCTCAAGTGATAGAGCACTAGCCCTGAGCTCAAGAGCTGAGAGACAGCGCCCAGGCCCAGAGTTCAGGCCCCATGACTGACAAATAACAACAACAAACAAAAACTATTTGTTGTGGACACTCATGATTATATCTTCAGAAGAGGATATTCAGGTGAATTTCCGACTTGAATGCAATAAAATATTTGGATTTAGCTAGATTCTTTTCTTGTCAAAATCCTTTTCCAGTTTTCTTCTTTTCACTAAGTAGTCCAACATTCATGGACAACAGTTCAGGCTGAAAACCTAGTTTGCCCCCCTCTCCCTTCCTATAATTTACATATAGTTAGCAAATTCTGGAAAAATCCTCACTTAGAAGCCATTTAACTCAATCAGAACAATACTTTAAAATTAATGTTACTCTACTAAAATGCTCAACTAAATTCCTTATCATTATCTAGTTTTCCTTTAATATTTATTTGCATGCCTCAAGCCCTATCTTTATCAAGACTCATCATAGTAAACATAAATTTTGTATTCCGTTATTATAGAAATAGAACTCCCCTTTGTACCATGATGGCAAGAAATTATTTTTAGTTCAACTGAGATATAGGCCATTACAATCACAACAGAATAGCGGTAGAAGGAATGGAAAGAAAACAGAAAATATTTATTATCTATACCTAGATTTACAAAATTATTTCATGTTGAAAGATACATTATGGAAACAATTCAATGGAATCACTGAATGAGACTTTATGGTCTCTCATAATAAGTCACTCCTATTCTGATTTACACAAGACTGAGATGATAAATTTCCATTCATAGTTTCTATTTTTGCAATAACAGAAGACAAGGATATTACCTGAAGCATTAGCAGGAAGAGTTTAGGCAAAAGATTAGAGAATGAAAGCAGTATTAAACATCAGATCATGTAGATGACAAGAGGAAATTGTAAGGTCTCTCCTCAAAATAACAGATCAAATGGTTAAATCATATGCTCTGAGCGGTTCTGTTCAGAGTAAATTAATTTGACATAGTATGCCTCCTATATATTACAAATAAATCATATATGTTATTCTTGTAAAGTTTAGAAAGCACTAGTCTAAGATAAGCCCTTGAACTTACCAATCCTGAGCATGATTACTAGCTTCCTGAGGTGGGAGTGGGCTGGCTAATCGAGATACTTGAATCCAAACTGAATCATATAGGTCTTTCTTCCGGGTATTCATAGTACAGGGAACAATCAGTGGCATTCCAAAGAGGCTGGGGCGGTTCTTCTGAGATGACAGGAAATACAGTTCTGTCCTCATCTGTATGTACAAATAAGAGAAGAGAGAACTGGAAAGATAGGTCTCTGCCAATAACATGTATTAACCATTCATTTTCAAATTAGTTATTAGGGCTAGGAAGGTAGCTCACTGGTAGAGTGCTTGCCTTGCATGCATGAGGCCCTGGGTTTGATTCCTCAGCACCACATAAGTAGAAAAAGCCAGAAGTGGTGCTGTGGCTCAAGTGGTAGAGCACTAGCCTTGAGCTGAAGAGCCTGAAGGACAGCACCCAGGCCCAGAGTTCAGCCCATGACCAACCAAAAAAAAAAAAATCAAGAATTCAAATTAGTTATTATCATACTCTTCTCTTTACATATAGACTTCCTCTTCATTAATCTGAAAAGAATTGGTTAAATGGAGCCATGAAAAGGTTGAGGTAATACCAGCTTCAGGGTTATCTGTCAATCCTGAATTTCAGTAATTGAAACATCTGTCAAAGAACATTCTTATATCCCTCCAAAAAATACATACAATGACAAGAGCAAAACCTCCAAAGGCATTCACATTTATATGGTAGAGAAGATATTTATGCCTATAGGCACATGAACACACAATAGACATAAATTCAAAAGAAAGTCATATTCAGATATATTAGCTATCCTGCTGCCTCTTAATACATGAGGAATGCCATTTCATATATTGACTATAACATATGCTATGAAAATGTATTAAAATGAAGATGTTACACAGACAGAAAATAGCTGTATTTCATAAATGGCAGTGGCAGGATAAACAATAAGTTGCCTAAAATATAACTAACCATTTTTCGGTGGACTGCAACAATGTATCCTGTAACAGGGATGTCAGGAAGATATGGCAAATGACCATTCACCATTCCATTTGTAAAACTCTTCTCAGTTCCACATGGCACAACAGTATTTGGCATTCCATTGGGGATGAATATTGGTCGAGACAGGTCCCCGTTGGTAGTTAGGCTGAACATCCCATTTGTAGATGGAGAAGAGGAGAAATCTATAAATTCAAAGATATGTATGGCACTTAAGCTTTGGTACCTTCATTTTCATTCTTTTCTTAAGGTTTGTTTTGTGTCTGTGTGTGCGCGTGTGCACATGCACGTGCACCATGCACTGCTCCTATGGTCTGAATTCAGGGAGAGGCACTGTCCTTGAACTTCTTTTGCTCAAGTTTAGCACTCTACCACATAAGCCACAGCTCTAACTCTGAGTTTGTTTGTTTTTTTTTGGTTTGTGATTAATTAGAGATGAGAGTCTCATGGATTTTCCTGCCCTGGCTGGCTTCAAACCACAATCCTCAGATCTCAGCCTCATGAGTAGCTAGGATTATAGGCATGAGCCACTGGCACCTGGCATTTCTCAAGTATTTAAGGATCTGGACCACTTGTAGTATAGTTTCTTTTATATAGAACACAGAGAAATTGCAGTTCAAGTAACAATTATAGACTTATTTGGAGTTTTTTTTTTTGGGTCAGTCATGGGACTTGAACTCTGGGCCTGGGTGCTATCCCTCAGCTCTTCAGCTCAAGGCTAGCACTCTAGCTCTTGAGCCACAGTACCACTTCCAGTTTTCTGAGTGGTTTATTGGAGATAAGAGTCTCACTATCTTTCCTGCCCGGGCTGGCTTTGAACATCAATCCTCAGATCTCAACCTCCTGAGTAGCTAGGATTACAGGCATGAGCCACTGGCGCCTGGCTTAAATTTAGATTTTACTTATATTACTCATATTTATTTTTAAATAGCAAAGTAAGAAGCTGATTATAAGAAACTAAGACTTTTGCAAAACTTCATATAAATATCATGTAAGCCGAGCATCCGTGGCTCATGCCTGTAATCTTAGCTACTCAGGAGGCTGAGATCGGAGGAATGTGGTTCAAAACCAGCCCAGGCAGGAAAGTCCGTGAGACTCTTATCTCCACTAAACCACTAGAAAACTGGAAGTGGCGCTCACCTTGAGCTGAAGAGCTGAGGGATAACGCCCAAGCCCAGAGTTCAAGCCCCACACCCAACAAAAAAAAACAAAACAAAAAACCCAAAATATAATGTAGTACACAGAAAATAATTATTTTTCAGTTTTTGCTTTTTGTGCCACTACTGGGGCTTGAACTCAGGGCCTGGGCACTGACCCATAGCTTTTTGCTTAAGGCTGACACTCTACCTCAAGGCCCAACTCTACTTTCAGCTTTTGGCTGGTTAACTGGAGCTAAGAATCTCTAGAATTTGTTTGCCAGGACTGCCTTTGACTGCAATCCTCATATCTCAAATCTCCTGAGAGTTAGGATTATAGGTATGAGCCACTGATGCTTGGCAAATAATTTTATCTTTTATCACTTCTATAATTTGTTTTCTTTCCCATTATTATTATTATTATTATTGTCAGTCAAAGGACTTGAACACTCAGGGCCTGGGTTCTGTCCCTGTGCTCCTTTTGCTTAAGGCTAGCTAGCATGCTATTACTTTGAGACACAGTGCCACTTCCAGTTTTCTGGTGGTCAACTGGAGATAAGAGTCTCACAGGCTTTCAACTGCAATCTTCAGATCTTAGCCTCATGAGAAGCTATGATTAAAATTATTACTTTTTAAAAAATATTTTTATTAAGCCAGATGCAGGTAGCTCATGCCTGTCATTTCAAAGTGCTCAGGCTTTGAGTTCATGTCCCACAAACATTTTTTTTTTTTTTGTCGGTCATGGGACCTGAACTCTGGGCCTGGGCACCGTCCCTCAGCTCTTTAGTTGTAGACTAGCGCTATACCACTTGAGCCTCAGCCCCACTTCTGGTTTTTTCTGCTTATGTGGTGCTGAGGAATCAAACCGAGGGCCTCATGCATGCAAGGCAAGTACTCTACCACTGAGCCACCTTTCCAGCCCCCACAAATGTTTTTTAAAAATTATCTTTAAGGGGCTGGGAAGGTGGCTCAGAGTTAGAGTGCTTGCCTCGCATGCATAAGGCCCTGGGTTTGATTCCTCAGCACTACATAAACAGAAAAAGCCAGAAGTAGTGCTGTGGCTCAAGTGGTAGAGCACTAGCCTTGAGCTGAAGAGCTGAGGGACAGTGCCCAGGCCCCGAGTTCAATCCCTATGACCAACACATACACACATAAACATACACACACCACACACAGTTATCTTTAAGTACTTGTACAAAGGAGTTGTCACTGAACAAAGCAGGTTATGAATTCAAAGCATCATGATCAATGTCTAAATTCTTTATTCCTCTAAGAATGCAAAATGCTGTCTGCTAGACAGTTAATGCTTTTTAAATTAAAATTTAAATTAAAAGTACATTTCTTTAGTCTTATTAGTCACATTTCAAATGCTTAACAGTTTACATGACTGATGGATACTGTATTGGAGGGCAAAGATCATAGACATATTTCTTTTACTGCAAAGTTCTATTGAACAGCGATATTCTAAATAGAAAGCAACATCAAGTCATCATTAGTACTATCTACTACATGCTCTTTGAGAGGAGCTTCCTTCTCTATGAACCCCTTTATAATTGGAGGATTAGCATAATCATAAGCAGTAAAAAAGAACAAACAAAACCTCGTATTAGTGGCTCATGCCTATAATTCTAGCTATTCAGGAAGCTGAGATCTAGGAACTGAAGTTTCAAGACAGCTGGGGCAAAAAAAGTGTGAGATTCTTATTGCCAATTAACCAGCGCAAAAAGCTGGAAGTGAAGGTATGGATCAAGCGGTAGAGCACTAGTCGTTAGCCAAAAAGCTAAAGGATATCATTCAGACTCTGGGTTCAAGACCCAGTAACTGGCTGGCTAACTGGCACACACACACACCTGGGTTCAAGACCCAGTAACTGGCTGGCTACTGACACACACACACACATACGAGACTGTCAGCTGGGTATTATAATTCTAGCTAAATTCTAGCTACTTGGAAGGATGAGATCTGAGGACAGTGGTCTGAAGCCAACACACACACACACACACACACACACACACACACACACACACGAGACTGTCAGCTGGGTATTATAATTCTAGCTAAATTCTAGCTACTTGGAAGGATGAGATCTGAGGACAGTGGTCTGAAGCCAGCCTAGGCAGGAAAGATTGAAAGACTCTTATCTCCAATTAACTACCAAAGAAAGTGAAGTGGAGCTGTGGCTAAAATGGCAGAATGCTACTTATGAGTTTTAAAAGTGCAAGGACAGGGCCCAGGCCTAAGTTCAAGTCTCTGGACCAGAAAAAAAAAATTGGGGACAAAGTCTACTTGAGAGGCAAAGAATCAAAGGTTAGGAATATCAGGGTTTGAGGCCAGCCCAGGCAGAAAAGTTCAGGATACCCCTTTTCAAATGAGGGCCAGGTCCAATGGAGCATCCTATCATTCTAGCTATGAAGAGAAGCCTAAAATAGGTGGATCATGACTGAGGCCCGGACACAATCAGAAAGTGAGACTCCATCTGAAAAATAACTGGCACACAGGTTGGGAATGTGGCTTACTGGAGAGAGCTTGTCTAGCATGCATGAAGCCCTGGGTTTGATGCCTCAGTACCACATAAACAGAAAAAGCTGGATGTGTCACTCTGGCTCAAGTGGTAGAGTGCTAGCCTTGAGCAAAAAGAAGCTCAAGGACAGTGCTCAGGCCCTGAGTTCAAGTCCCAGGACTGGCAAAAAAATTAGTACAACAAAGGGCCAGAGGTGTGTCTCAGCAGTAGAGTATTACCCTAGGAAGAACAAGATAGAGTCCAAGTTCAAACCTCAGTACAACAAAAAAGAAAAAGGAATGAGCAAAGCAAATAAATGGCAAAAAAGACTTACAAGGTACCGGTATCATATGCAATAATTGCATAACACTCTTATTCATCTATTTTTGTTTATGTTCCCTGGTAGCATGTTGCTCTCATACTATATGGTGCCATGTTAGTATCAGAAAGGAGTTAAAAGAGATCTGAATGCTATTGGAATTTGAGCTAATATCTATATACTTAGCTTATACACTTAGGTTTTCTGAATTTCAGGCTTTTCATCTATCAAAAAAAAAGGAGAATGTAAGCCAAGTAATTAGTAGAATTCCCTCAGAAATCTCTTTGAATAGCATAAAAGGTTTGTCAGGGCTCAAAGATTCTTTTGCTCTAATATCTTCAGCACAATAAATAGAAAATGATAAATGTTAGATCAATCTTTAAAGCTGAGATAATAAGAAAGAGCATTCATTCTAGCTTACCTGTTTGTACTGGACTAGATTCTGAAACTGGAGATGGAGGAAGGGGGATTTCAAATGCACACAAAAATCCACTCACTGAGAGGCGAACTTTTTGGTTGTCCTGAGGCAAATTCTAGAAATAAAAGAAAGATGAAAAAGGAGTGAAGTATTAACTCTCTGAATTTTTTTTTTTTTTGGTCTGTCATGGAGCCTGAACTTTTGGTCTGGGCACTGTCCCTCAGCTCTTCAGCTCAAGGCTAGTGCTCTACCAGTTGAGTCACAGTGCCACTTCCGGCTTTTTCTGTTTATGTGATGCTGAAGAATCAAACCCAGGGCCTCGTGCATGCAAGGCAAGCAGTCTACCACGAAGCCACCTTCACAGCCCTCTCTCATGTTTTTTTTTTTTTTTTGCCAGTCATGGAGCCTGAACTCTGGGCCTGGGTGCTGTCCTTGAGCTCTTCAGCTCAAGGCTAGTGCCCTACCACTTGAGCTACAGCACCACTTCTGGCTTTTTTTTTTTTTTTTGCTTATGTGGTGCTGAGGAATCGAACCCAGGGCCT